AGTGAGAGAGAGAGAGAGAGAGAGAGAGAGTGTGTGTGTGTGTGTGTGTGTGTGAGGGCTCAGATGTGGGCAGAAGTTTATATGAGGGTATATGTGGTTATCCCATGTTTGTTTTTGCGCGGTTGAGTGTGTGCGCACGCGTGTGTGTCAAACGTGGCTCATATAAAGATCAGTGTCTGGTTTGCTGGAATCCCTTTGATGTGTTTAAACTGGAGCTTTTCAAACCTTCTTCACCAGTTTTGTATATCTATATATATATATATATATATATATATATGTGTGTGTATGTATCCAGTATATATTTGATACTTTTACAAAGAAGTACTGTAAAAACCAATTATCAAACAGAAAAAGAGACTCATTTCCTAAACAACCCAAAAAGGCTCAGCATATGTTTTACAGAGGGTTGTAGGGTGGAAAAGCAAAATATATATATATATATATATATATATATATATATATATATATATATATATATATATATATATATATATATATATTTATATATATGACATTAAGCATTCTTAATTTAATTGGAAGAATTAAAAAAATGCTTAATGCCATTTAAACGTATGACTTCAGGTCAAATACATCTACGTATCTGATTAACATTTATAACTTATAAGTAGATTGCATAAGGCATGGTAAAGATTTTATGTGTTTTTGGATTGGCTTTATGAGATTTAAAGATTCTGAAAGTCACCGATCGAACCACGTGTGCGTGACGTCACTCCTCCCACCTGCGGCGCGTGCGTTATTTGCGTACTTTCACTCGAAACCATAAGTGTCCCAGAAGATGCCGAGACAAACCGAACCGCAGCGATTCTCCCCGGATCATTCCCACCATCTCTGCTGCTGTCTGGGAATGTGAGGAATTAATATCTCTGATCCTCCGCCGCACGCTTCACTTCAGTTTGACTTTAATTATGGCGGTTTCGGTAATTGGGCCTATCTGGCTCGTGCTATTAAAAGAGAGCTCCCTTAACGAAACAACAGACTTAAAATGTGATAGATAGATAGAGCTTATGTTTTATCTAATTGGCAAGGTTCTTTCAAAGTTTTGAACAAACATTCTTCAAGTAACATTAATAGAACGTTTGTTCAAAGTTGTCTGCTCTTTAATAATGTTACACATTTATAGGCGAAATCATTCATGGAACATTTTAGTTGAATATTCGTCTAACGTTAAATAATTAAATGATGCTACTTGTTTCAGAGCTTTCAAAAAACATTCATAAGTAATGTTTCTGTAACGTTTGCAAAATTATAAAATGGAACATTCCCATAACGTTTGCAGAACCAAGAAACATTTTTTAAAAACACTCTATTGAACTGTACCATAGAATATTTATAGATAGGTAGAGATTATTATTTTATTTAATTATATGTTCCTAGCTAACAGAGCGTGTTCTCAGTTTCAGAACATCCTTAACGTTCTAGCAGTGTTCTCTCAAAGTTACGAACGAACGTTCCTCCAATAACATTAATGGAATAGTTCTCAGTGTTCACAAGAACATTATCTGTACATTTTTTAGTTAAAATGTTACAGTTGAATGATTGTTTGACATTTTTTGAATGATGCTACTTGTTCAGAACATTCAAAAGTAACGTTTCCATAACATTTGCAAAATAATAAAGTTGAATGTTCCCTCAACGTTCGCATAACCGAGAAAATAAATTTTTTAAAACTTGATGTTTTGAACATTCAGAAGTAACGTTCTCGTAATGTTTGCAAAATTATAAAATGGAATGTGCCCTTGATGTTCGTATAACTAAAAAAATTACTTTTTAAAAACTTGATGTTTTGAACGTTGAGAGAACATTCAGAAGTAACGTTCTCGTAAAGTTTGTAAAATAATCAAATGGAATGTTCGCTTGATGTTCGTATAACTAAAAAAATTACTTTTTAAAAACTTGATGTTTTGAACGTTGAGAGAACATTCAGAAGTAACGTTCTCGTAAAGTTCGCAAAATTATAAAATGGAATGTTCCCTTGAAGTCCGTATAACTATAAAATATATTTTTTAAAACTTGATGTTTTGAACGTTAAGAGAACATTCAGAAGTAACGTTCTCGTAAAGTTCGCAAAATTATAAAATGGAATGTTCCCTTGAAGTCCGTATAACTAAAAAAATTATTTTTTAAAAACTTGATGTTTTGAACGTTAAGAGAACATTCAGAAGTAACGTTCTCGTAAAGTTTGCAAAATAATCAAATGGAATGTTCCCTTGATGTTCGTATAACTAAAAAAATAAATTTTTAAAAACTTGATGTTTTGAACGTTAAGAGAACATTCAGAAGTAACGTTCTCGTAAAGTTCGCAAAATTATAAAATGGAATGTTCCCTTGATGTCCGTATAACTAAAAAAATTAATTTTTAAAACTTGATGTTTTGAACGTTAAGAGAACATTCAGAAGTAACGTTCTCGTAAAGTTCGCAAAATTATAAAATGGCTTGATGTTTTGATGTTCGTATAACTAAAAAAATAAATTTTTAAAAACTTGATGTTTTGAACGTTAAGAGAACATTCAGTTCTCGTAAACTCGTAAAGTTTGCAAAATAATCAAATGGAATGTTCGCTTGATGTTCGTATAACTAAAAAAATATTTTTTTTAAAACTTGATGTTTTGAACGTTGAGAGAACATTCAGAAGTAACGTTCTCGTAAAGTTCGCAAAATTATAAAATGGAATGTTCCCTTGA